GCCCTAAAGTGTCGCCTTTTTAAACAACCAGTCAATTACATTTTCTAAGAATTCTTAAATTTCACGGGCTTTCAAAGAACAAAGGAACCGTAAAAGAAACTACCTAAGGAAATCGGACTCTTGTGACCACCACCGATAGCTGATCTGGCCCTCGGCCTCTATGGTGCCCTCGAAAATTAACCTCTCTTCTGCTTCAAGCAACTGCCTTTGTCTGGCATTCTTTCGAAGAAACCCCGCCTTGGAAACAGATCCGATTTTCCTTCCAAACAGGATGGCGAGGCCGTGAATTGGCCGTGAATTGTTTTTCTCTGGTGCGAAGTAGCCAATTATCACACGAGGCGGGAAATCGCAACCTGTTTATTCTGCACAGCACAGAGAGATGCTGCTCTGGGGATGACATCACAAACCGAGAGCACCCGACACACAACTTGGCATTGTTTAAATACACTTGGGAAACCAAGGCACATGATCATTAGTAAGCAATAGGCAACGAACAACAAAGTATTCCAAGCCCTGGTAGAGGATGGTCCTCCCAGAATGCTTCATTACTAAAATATTACAATCCTCGCCTTCTGTCCCTAATTTATAAGGCTGATAATAAGGCTGAGCTGTGGTGGTGCAGTGGTTAGAATGCAGTATTGCAGGCTACTTCTGCCGGCGGTCAGCAGTTTGGCAGTTCGATCCTGACCGGCTCAAGGTTGACTCTTCCAGTCTTCCATTCCTTCCCAGGTCGGTAAAATGAGGACCCAGATAGTTGGGGGCAACAGACTGACTCTGTAAACCACTTAGAGAGGGCTGTGAAGCACTGTGAAGCGGTATATACGTCTCAGTGCTATTGCTATTGCTAATTAAGTATGCAGAACTTTCTACCTAATTTATCTGCGACAGGAAAGGAGACGTTTGTACTTGTGTTAGAAGCACTAAGGCAGGGCTTTTCAACCAGTGGTACGGGTACCACCTGTGGTACATTGGCACCTGGCAGGTGGTACGCGACCATCCTAGAAAAGTGGTAGTGGGGGAGGGGAATGGGCTGAACCGGTGGCAGCACCGCACAAGCCTGAGCGAGAGATGGCTGGAGCTGCAGGGCTGTCAGGGCTCAACGGAAGCGCCAGGATCGGCGCCAGGCTCCAGCTGGAGCTCGGCGCTGATCCTGATGCTTCTGCTGAGCCCAGAAGAAGCGCCAATCAGCTGGAATGTTGCAGCATCTCCAGGGTCTTGTGATTTACATTCAGATGCTTGGCAACTGATTCATATTTATGATGGTCACAGTGTCCCAGGGTCATGTGAAGTGACCAAAACCTGCTGCAACCACCCAGCAGACGGGGGGAAAAAACCAAACACCCCCACCCCATCCCCACTGCCAATCCTCAACAGAAATGCTCACAACAATGAAAACCTCAGACAGGCAGGTGGGCAGGCAGGTGTCTTGCTCGGCTGTGCCTTGGGGGGCACTTTATTCAGTGCCATTGTAACTTTGAATAGTCACTAAGCGAACTGTTGTAAGTCGAGGGCTACCTGTACTTTATCACTTTTTTCCTTTTTTTTTTTTTGGGTCATCAAATTTTTGACACGTTGCTAGGCGACTGGTGCTACTCGGATGTTGCCATATCCTAAAAGTGGTACAATGGGTGAAAAGGTTGAAAAGCCCTGCACTAAGGTGCTTCTGGGTTGAAAGGATTAGCCGGTGAAATCACCGTTGCCCGGAAACGCCCAGTTGGGGGCTTCTTTCATGTTCCTGACAGCAGCTGGAACAAAGGATGGGAGCTCACCTCACCCCATGGCAGCACTCAGGTCTCAAACGCAGGTTTGCTAACCTCCAACCCAGTTTCCTAACCACAACAGCCACAGTGCTCATTAAGGAGAAGCTAACCCCTGAATAAAATGCTGGCCTGATTTGAGTTCCTTGATAAGGATATCAAGTAGCCTTCCAGGAATTTTAGGGCAAGGATATCAGGCCCAAAAATGAGGGGCCCAAAGGAGAAATATCTAAATGCAAAGTGAAGGGTTTCCCTCCCCCCCCCACGAAATGGGGATTCTCTGGATAAAACTAGTTAATCAGTTCTAAGAACAGACCAATAGCCTGTTTCCAGGAAAAATGGATCGCCGCTTAGATCTTATCACATCAGACTGAAAAAGGGTTCATGTGCCTTTTTGCATCCATTGTTTCTTGTTCTACCTTCTGGTGCTTTGGAGCAGGGCTTTCCAACCTTTTCACCCATTGTACCACTTTTAGGATAGGGCAACATCTGAGTACCACCAGTCGACTAGCAAGGCGTCAAAAACTTGATGACCAAAAAAAAAAAAGGAAAAAAGTGATGAAGTACAGGTAGTCCTCGACTTACACCAGTTCACTTAGTGACTGTTCGAAGTTACAATGGCACTGAAAAAAGTGCCCCCCAAGCCACAGCCGAGCAAGACACCTGCCTGCCCGCCCGGCGGCGCTCTTCCTCCTGTCCGAGGTTTTCATTGTTGTGAGCATTTCTGTTGAGGATTGGCAGTGGGGGGTGTTTGGTTTTTATTCCCCCCGTCTGCTGGGTGGTTGCAGCAGGTTTTGGTCACTTCACATGACCCTGGGACACTGTGACCATCATAAATATGAATCAGTTGCTAAGCATCTGAATGTAAATCACAAGACTCTGGAGATGCTGCAACATTCCAGCTGATTGGTGCTTCTTCAGGGCTCAGCAGAAGCACCAGGATCAGCGACGAGCTCCAGCTGGAGCCTGGCGCTGATCCTGGTGCTTCCGCTGAGCCCTGACAATCCCGAAGAAGTGCCGATAAGCTGGAAAGCGGCACTGATCCCGGCGTTTCCGCTGAGCCCTGACAGCCCTGAAGCTCCAGCCATCTCTCACTCAGGCTTGTGCGGTGCTGCCACCGGTTCAGCTCATTCCCCTCCCTTGCTACTTTTCTAGGATGGTCGCGTACCACCTGCCAGGTGCCAATGTACCACAGGTGGTACCCGTACCACTGGTTGAAAAGCCCTGCTTTGGAGAATAGGTTTTCCCCTTCTTCTTTATGGCAGCTGCTCAAATATGGGTACGGTGCTATCATGTCGCCCCTGGTCCTCCTTTTCATTAAATTACACAGACCCAATTCCTGCAACCGTTCTTCATATGTTTTAGCCTCCAGCCCCCTAATCATCCTTATTGCTCTTCTCTGCAGTCTTTCCAAGTCTCAATGTTGCAAGGTTTTGTTTTAGCAGGGGATGCGTAGTAAGATTTAAATATGGATTGTTCTACTGTATATATTTATCTCTTTTGCTCTATTTTGACTCTGTCCTCTGGCTTTGTTGCCGTTTTATTTATGGCTAAAGGCTGTACGAAATAAAACTGAATGTCATTTTTTTCCCCGTCCTTCGGATAATATCTCGTAACCATAAAAGTGAACAAAGTGATCGGTAGCTAGGTGTGCGTTAAAAAATAAAAAGAAAAGACATTGGGGTAATTACAAAATTACCTGGTTTTTAATATATAATAAAAAGTAATTTTTCAATGAGGGAAATTCATAAATCTAGATAAATGATCAGAAATAGCTACTGTATAACTCTTATTTTGAAACCAACATACTAGGACAGTGATGGCGAACCTTTTAGAGACCGAGTGCCCAAACTGCAACCCAAAACCCACTTATGTATTGTCGGGTGCCGGGCGGGCATGGCCCATTGGGTGGGTGTGGCCCATTGGGTGGGCGTGGCTGCGGGGGTAACGGCAGACTGGGTGGGACTAAAAAGTTCAATCAATTAATTCCAACTTTGTGAGATTTTTCCCCCCGCGAAAAGTTGAAATTGATTGATTGAACCTTTTTTTTTTTTTTTGCACACGGCGGCGGAGGCCTAAAGCGAAAAGGTTTTATAAAACCCGGCTGAAGGCCTAGGACTGGGGCGACGGTGCGCATGCCCACAGAGAGGGCTCTGCGTGCCACCTGTGGCATGCGTGCCATAGGTTCGCCACCACGGTACTAGGAGAATCTTTCAACGAGAAGCTGGAGGAGAATCTTATCTGGGTTTTGTCTCAAGGCAGGCCGATATCAATGTTCACATTTGCACAACTGAGTTTTCTCACTTTGAAATCACATCATCATCATCAGTCAATCATGATTATGTGATTTTAAAAGAAGCCAATGAGATTTCCTGAAGCCAATCTCAATTCCTGCTGATTTCAAGGCTGCCTTGAAGACACACACACAAAATCCTTAGAAAGAGATGCTTCAGAATGCTGTCTTTTTAAAGGCAGCCACAAATTTCTCCTAGCCTTGCACAGCTGCTTTGGAAGATGCTCCCAGATGTATCCACATCTTTGTGCAGGTAGTGCAACTTCCATTTACAGAGACTAAAAGTGCTTTACAAAGAAAAAAAAAGTGCTGCACAGTTCAAGCTTCTAAGGCAGTGTTTCTCAGTCGTGGCAACTTTTAAGATAACTCCCAGAATTCTTAGCAATAGCCACGCTGGCTGGGGAATTGTGGGAGTTGAAGCCCAGACATCGTAAAGTCGCCAAGGTTGAGAAACATGGGTTCGGAATTACGTTTTCCCAGATATCTAGCTGCAATTCTAAAGGTCCCCTTCGATATGAGGTTTGTGATTTTCCTCTAACCCAGGGGTAGGCCACCTTGGCTCTTTTATGACTCGTGGACTTCAACTCCCAGAATTCCTGAGCCAGCCACGCTGAGGGGAAAGGGAGAGGTTTCCAAGCTGAGCCCTGCTGGCTCAGGAATTCTGGGAGTTGAAGTCCACGAGTCATAAAAGAGGCAAGGTTGCCTACCCCTGAACTAGATGACATACAACAGGGGTCTTCAAACTTGGCCCTTTTATGACTTGTGGACTTCAACTCCCAGAATTCCTCAGCCAGCCTGGCTCAGCTTGGAAACCTCTCCCTTTCCCCTCAGCATGGCTGGCTCAGGAATTCTGGGAGTTGAAGTCCACGAGTCATAAAAGAGCCAAGGTGGCCTACCCCTGCTCTAAACCAAGTTTCATCCACTTGAGGCACCAGGCCCAGCGGCCTGTATTAAAATGTTCTTTTCAGGCCTATGTGGGTTTTCTCGTGAGCGCTAAGGCCCGCCTTTTGGCTAAACCGCTTCTCGCAGAGAGCACATTTGTAAGGTTTCTCTCCCGTATGCAGCCTTATGTGGGTCATGAGATTCCCCTTCTGGTTGAAGCCCTTCCCGCACTCGAAGCAAACAAAGGGATTCTCGCCCGTGTGGATCCGCTCGTGGATGAGAAGCCGGGATCTTTCCGGAAAGCTTTTTCCGCAGTGAACGCATTTGTACGGTTTCTCTCCGCTGTGCAGCCTCTCGTGGATGGTCAAGTAGTGTTTCTTGTTGAAACTCTTTCCGCAGTCCGGGCATCGGTGCGGCCTCTCTCCCGCGTGCGCACGGAGATGCTCTCGTAAGATTGAACGGGATCCAAAGTTTCTTCCACAATAACGGCAGTTAAACGAAGACTCTCCACCATGGATGCTCAAATGCTCCTTCAAACTTGAAGCAGAGTTGAAGCACTGATCGCAGTGGGGGCATTTTGTGCTTCCCGGACCCGTGTAAACTCCCCGCTGGATTATAAAGGCCTGGGTTGACATCAAACTGCTACTGGCCTCTGAAGATGAATATGATTCCTCGGCCATGTCTGTACTCTGATGTGGGAGAAGATCCGAGCGTTGTCCAAAGTTCCCTCTGTGGTCCAATTTGGTGTGCTGCACCTCGCCGCCCAGGAACCTCTGCTGTTCTGGTGCACCACCCAGATCATCAACACAGAAAATAGTGGGGTCCACCCCCTTCTCATGACCCATTTCTGGCACATTCCCGCTTTCGCTCGGATCGTCCAAAGTTGCACCGTTCTTACAGTATTGGAAATCCTTGTTGGTTTCCAGAGAAACGTCCTTGGGATCTGTTTGTTCTTCTCCTTTGGGATGAATGGAGTTTGTCTCTTTCCCCCACACCTGCTCATCACCTGCAGAAAGGAAAGGGAGATTTTTATCCCGGATCTAGATATGTCACTGAAAGGCAAAATCACAAAACTGCATCTTACTTCTTTTGGCTATGTCGTAAGGGGGAATTCACTGGAGAGTGCAACTTCCATTTACAGAGAAAAAAAGTGCTGCACAGTTCAAGCTTCTAAGGCAGTGTTTCTCAGTCGTGGCAACTTTTAAGATATCTGGACGTCAACTCCCAGAACTCTTAGCAATAGCCACTGCTGGCTGGGGAATTGTGGGAGTTGAAGTCCAGACATCTTAAAAGTTGCCAAGGTTGAGAAACGGGTTGGAATTACATTTTCCCAGTCTAGCTGCAATTCTAAAGGTCCCCTTCGATATGAGGGTTTGTGAAGGCAGGACAAGTAGCAACGGATGGAAACTAACCAAGGAGAGAAGCAACCTAGAACTAAGGAGAAACTTCCTGACAGTTAGAACAATTAACCAGTGGAACAACCTGCCTCCAGAAGCGGTGAATGCTCCAACACTGGAAGTTTTTAAGAAGAGACTGGACAGCCATTTGTCCGAAATGTATAGGGTTTCCTGCCTGAGCAGGGGGTTGGATTACATGACCTCTGACCTTCCAACTTTTTTTTTAATTATTATTATTATTATTATTATTATTATTAATGTTTAAAAGAGTTAGTGGTAAAAGGAAACCAGGCTGCCTAAAGAACACGGTGGTTGGACACCATCAAAGCGGACACCAGCCAGAGCATAAAACAACTCAAAGAAGCTGCCACCTTACACTTGTTTGTGTGCTTCGCTACTATGCAGTGACAGTCTGCCATGAACTCTGTGTGTGTGTGTGGATGGGAGGGTGAATGCTTTGGGGAAAACGAAAGTAACTGCTATATCTCCCTGAGATGCTGCTTCAAGATCACCCAGCTGGGAGAAGCAGGTAGTGCCTACCATCCTACACTTGAAGTGATTGTTTTGAAAAGATCTCGCTTGAACCTGATTGGCCATTGGTGGAGGCAGTTAAGGGAGGGAAAAGTTGAACTTATGGACTTTGGTGCGAGATTCTCAGTTATGGCTAGGCACTACTGCAATACACTTGACTTCTAATAAAAATGTACCTTTCTCAACAAATGGGGCAAAGGATTCTATCTATTTAAAGGTTTAAGTGCTGGCAGATCCAACATAGTGCAAGATCGGAAACCATGAGAGATCTGGCTCATAAAGTTGCCAAGAGCTGGACATGACTGAATGGATAGCAACATCATCAATTCATCATCACCATCCAGAATTTTCACACACACACACCTGCCCCCTTTTTGAAACAGAATCAGCATCATTTGGTAACAGAATATTCTGACAATTGGAGGAAGCCACAGAACTGATTGATCATTTCTTGATTAGTACAATGTATTGCTCATACTAAGCTTCCAAATATAGGCAGTCCTCAACTTACAAATATTCGTTTAACAGCTACATGAAGTTGTTAAAAAATTGCTTACGACCAGACCTCCCACTTACAACTGCCACAGCATTCCCCACAGTCATGTGATCAAACATTTGGGCACTTGGTGACTAGCCTGTATTCACAGCAACCTGCAGGCTCCCCAGGTCATGTGATCACCATTTGCGACCTTTCCAACTGGCTCGCGGCTCGGCTAGCACCGGCGCGTGGCTCGTGGCTCAGCTAGCTCTGGCGTGAGGCTCTCAGCTCTGGTAGTGCCGACTCACAGCTCGGCTAGTGCCGGTGCGAGGCTCACAGGTTGTCTATCACCGGGACACAACCCACCGCTTGGCTCGCGCCAGCACACCAACACACAGGTCAGGACTCACAGCTCGGCTAGTGCTGGCAGAAGGGGGCGTGAGCGTGACCAGACACTCACGTGGCCCAGTGGCCAAGAGACCATGTCCCAGTAGTGGACCGTAACCCATAGGTTGGGGATCTCTGGCCCAGGGAACGATCAGATAAGAGGGAGCCTAGCCCACAACTGCATAATGGGCAGGGCAAGAGGGACCCTCCCTAGTTCTCAGATTATAAAAGAGATGGTGGGAGATTTGTACTTTCAGACTTACAAGATTCTGCTAACGTAGCCTTAAAATAAAGTACAGGTAGTCTTCAACGTACGACAACTGAGCCCAAACTTTCTGTTGCTAAGTGAGGCAATTTGTTAAGTGAGTTTTGCCTCACTAGTACGACTTTTGCCACGGGTTGTGAGGTGAATCACTGCAGCTGTTAAATTAGTAACACGGCGGTTAAACACATCTGGCTTCCCGATCTGACTTTGCTTGTCAGGAAGTCGCCAAAGGGGATCACATGACCCCCCCGATACTGCAACCGTCGTAAATATGAGTCCGTTGCCAGGATTTTAATCACATGACCGTGGGGAGTGCTGCAACAGTCGTAAGTGTGAAAAACGGTCACAAGTCACTTTTTCCCCTGCTGCTGTAACTGTGAACGGCCACTAAATGAACTGTTGTAAATCGAGGACTACCTGTAGAGCACGTTTCAAAAACCCACCCTCTGCTCTTTGCTCTTCGTCTAAAGCAGCTTGCATCTTTCAAAAAGACCTTTGAATTTTTAAAGGTTTTGTTCGAAAAGAGCCCCCGTCCTTTACTTTAGAACTCTGAAAAAAATAGGGCAAAGTCAACATGCTGGGTAAAGTTTAAGAATAAACTTTAGCATCCCCCACTTGTGGCTTTTGATGAAGAAGACCCTAGCCCAGGGGTAGGCAACCTCAGCTCTTTTATGACTCGTGGACTTCAACTCCCAGAATCCCTGAGCCAGCCATGCTGAGGGGAAAGGGAGAGGTTTCCAAGCTGAGCCATGATGGCTCAGGAATTCTGGGAGTTGAAGTCCACGAGTCATAAAAGAGCCAAGGTTGCCTACCCCTGCCCTATACCATTTCAGAGAAGTGACTGTCTAGGACAGGGCTCTTCAGACTTGGCCCTGTTATGACTCCTGGACTTCAACTCCCAGAATTCCTGAGCCGGCCATGCTGAGGGGAAAGGGAGAGGTTTCCAAGCTGAGCCATGCTGGCTCAGGAATTCTGGGAGTTGAAGTCCACGAGTCATAAAAGAGACAAGGCTGCCTACCCCTGGCCTAGTCCAAAATCTTTGTGTCATGGCTGCAACAGGAGAAAAGGAATTGGTGTGAACCCTTCCAAGAGACACGGAACCTTACTCAGCCACGTTGCCTCCTTGCTCTCGCCTTCCTTGCTGTCTCTGCTGAGCTGGGCAGCCCAGCAATCCAGAGCTTGTCCTGTCTCAGAAGGTTCCATAGCCTCCTCTGAAGGTGGCACCTAAAAGAGCAGCCAGGAGAGAATTAATTGAGGAGGGGAGACTTGAACGCAGGGAGGGGACCAATGTCCAGAGATCCATGAGTTTTTTTCCATTTAGGATGAATGAAGAAAACTTGTCCAGGAATTATCAGTATCTAAAGGTAGTCCTTGATTTACGACTGATCACTTAGCAACCATTTGAAATTGCGATTTACCTACCTTGGAGCTTCTTATGACCCAGGTTTGAAGTTCCAATGGTTGCCCTCCCCTGAAGTCACATGAGTAAACATTTACGGCCATTGGCAGTGTCCCACTGTCACGTGACTGCGTTTTATGATGGTTCTGCCGAAAATGGGGACATACTTCCAGTTTTTTGGCAAATCTACACCAATAGCGAATCATTGGTTCATGTAACGACTACAGCAGTGGTTCTCAACCTTTTTAATGCTGTGACACCAACCGGTCGTAAGTTGAGGACTAAACCAGTCGTAAGTCGAAGACTAAACCGGTTGTAAGTCGAGGACTACCCAACCGGTCGTAAGTCGAGGACTTTCCCTGCCCGGGAGCGCCGCGCATGCGTGGTTCCGCCCCCTGCGCCGGCCGAGGCGTAGCTGGCAAGCGGCAGAGACGGAGCAGGCCGACCACCAGCTGCCCCAGCCCAAGGGAGGTAAGGCACCCGCCGGAAAAGGGGAAAAAATGGCGGACAGCCTTGCTTGGTGACCCCCGTGAAATGGTCGATCGACCCCAAATGGGGTCACGACCCATAGATTGAGAACCGCTGGACTACAGTGTTCACTTAACAACCTCCGCAAAAACGGTAATAAAATCAGATTGGACTTATGACCGCAACAGGGATAGACTCCATACAGTCATTAAGTCAAGGACTACTTAAGTCCTTGTAGAGGATTTGGTCAAAATTGACAAGAGGGTGGACCCTGGGATGTTGCAGTCTTAAAAGTTGCCATACTGGATACAGGTAGTCCTCGACTTACGGCCACAACTGAGCCCAAATTTATGCTGCTAAGCGAGAAATTTGTTAAGTGAGTTTGTTAAGTGAACCACTGCAGTTGTGAAGTTAGTAACACGGTTGTTAAGTGAATCTGGTTTCCCCGTGGATTTTGCTTGTCCGAAAGTTGCACAAGGGGATCACATGATCCCAGGACACTGCGACCGTCATAAACGTGAGTCAGTTGTCAAGCATCCGAAGGCAAATCACGTGACCGTGGGGAAACTGCAAAGGCCGTAAGTGTGAAAAATGGTCATAAGTCCCTCTTTTCACCGCCGTTGTAACTTGGAATGGTCACTAAGCAACCTGTTGTAAGTCGAGGACTACTTGCATAAAGAGAGAGACTTTGATTGGATGGTCGCAACTACCACTTTGCCTCTTGTAACGCCTCCACTCCCCCTACTTCAGGGTCCTCAAATTCTCCTACCTTTGGTTCCAATTTCTCAGCCTCTTCCTGCTTCAACAGGAAGTCCTCAGCCATGGCTACCGCCTGGGTGCAACTACCAGGTTTCCGTTCCCTGACCCAAATTTGCATGTCCACCGGCAGGATGCTGAGAAACTGCTCCAGGACCAGCAGTTCCAAGATCTCATCCTTGGTGTGTCTCTCAATTTTCAGCCACCGGCAGCCGAGCTCTCGTAGTTGCCCATAAATGCCTCTCGGCCCTTCCGTATCCTGGTAGCGAAGCCGTCGGAAGTGCTGCCGCTGTTTCTCCCGGGCGGCGGCCTCTTCTTCCAAGATGGCTGCCTTCACCTTCTCGTAGTTTGCCTTCTCTTGAGCGTGGAGGCCGCTGAAGGCTTGCTCGGCCTCTCCGCTCAGGGCTGGCCGGAGAAAGGTCACCCACTTGTCCCGAGGCCATCGGCAAGCAGTTGCCACTTGTTCAAAGGAGGCCAAGAAGACTCTGGCATCTTCCCAGGGAGTGAGCCGTTCGGACATCTGAGAAGTCCCACACTCCAAGTCTGGTGCCTGCAGGGTCCTGAGGAACTCCTGCCATTGGGTCTCCCAGAGGTCTTGCAAACCTTCGGTGGGTTCCTGCTTCACATGATGCGGTGGGGCCTCCATCAGAAGCTCTTCAGAGCCGCTCATCTGTGCAGCCATTGGGGCTTTGGGAAGACCCTCCATCCTTTCCCAAGCACCAGGTCCTGTGGCTTCCTGCTCATCCATCGGGGAAAAACAGGATGCTGTCCTTTTCTTCCAACCGTCTTGTCTTCTGGTCTCCCAGCACTTCTTCTGAAGGTGTCACAGATCAATCGGCTGGGGAATAACAGGAGGTTCTCTAATCAACCTGCATGGGGAAAAAGAGAGTCATGGAGTCTATAGATCAGCGATGGCGAACCTTTTAGAGACCGAGTTCCCAAACTGCAACCCAAAACCCACTTATTTATTGCCGGGTGCCAGGTGGGCGTGGCCCACTGGGTGGGCATGACTGTGGTGCTCATGGCAGATTGGGTGGGTGTGGCCAAGGTGGGCATGATCACCTCTATGTTGCTCGTGGGGAGGGACACCTGTGGGGGCCGAGCAGGGTTGGGGGAGATCCAGGGGGTCTCTGTCAGGTGGGGCAGTGGGCAGGAGGCTCGTCCTGCGGGGTGAGGCGAGGCAAGGCGAGGCAGGGTGGGGGTGCCATTGTCACAGGGCAAGTGAGGCAGGGGCCGGGCCGGCTGCTGCCTGATACCATCAGCCCCTGCAAACAAAAGCCAGCATGTGCATGGGTGCTGGGATGCATCCGGCCATGTGGGACCTCGGCGAGTTAGCGGGCGGCTGGTTGAAGAGGGACAGTTGCCATCTCCGGGCCATGGCGCACATGCCCACAGAGAGGGCTCTGAGTGCCGCCTCTGGCATGCGTGCCATAGATTCGCCACCACTGCTATAGATAGTCCTTGCTTACCAATGGCTTATTTTATGACCAGTCCCTGCAGTCACATGATCATGATTTGGGCACTTGGCAATCAGCGAGTATTTATGATAGTTACAACATTCTGGGGTCATGTGATCGCTATTTGTGACTTTCCCAGTTGGCTTCTGACAAGTCAGTGGGGAAACCGCAGAAAGTTACAAGTCACAGTTATGACTGCTGTGATTCACTTAATGGCTGCAGCTGGAACTGACACTATAAGCCAAGTATGGTCATGTGACATTTCACTATATCAGGGGGTCTTCAAACTTGGCCCTTTTATGACTTGTAGACTTCAACTCCCAGAATTCCTCAGCCAGCGTGCCTGGGAGTTGAAGTCCACAAATCATAAAAGGGCAAGGTTTGAAGACCCCTGTACTATATGATTGTATTGCTTAGCAACGGAGTTGCCAGTCCAAACTGCAGGCTGCAAGTCAACAAAAATCATGAAGACAAAGAAGAGGGAGTCAAGCTATTCTCCAAATCACCTGAAGGCAGGACAAGAAACAACGGATGGAAACTAATCAAGGAGAGAAGCAACCTAGAACTAAGGAGAAACTTCCTGACAGTTAGAACAATTAACCAGTGGAACAACCTGCCTCCAGAAGTTGTGGATGCTCTAACACTAGAAGTTTTTAAGAAGAGACTGGACAACCATTTGTCTGAAATGGTATAGGGCTTCCTGCCTGAGCAGGGGGTTGAACTAGAAGACCTCCAAGGTCCCTTCCAACTCTGTTTATTCTATTCTATTCTATTCTATTCTATTCTATTCTATTCTATTCTATTCTATTCTATTCTTATTCTTATTCTATTCTCAAAAGGTCTGAAGACTTCCTGTTTCAGCAGTTTATCATAATTTGATAGTGAGGCAATTGTAAGGTTTTCTTTCCTCTTTTCTCTGACATGTAAGCCAGTGTTAGCTAGGTGCAAGGCGCCATTTCCTGTTGTGACAATGTGATGAAAAATTTAACACATGACCTGTATACTGTGGTTAATCTATGTCCAGTTACCTTAACCATGTATTTGAGAAGACTCCTGAGAATACTGTGGACAGCCAAGAAAACAAACCGATGGATCACAGAACAAATTAAACCAGAGTCCTCATTTGAGGCACAAATGACCAGGCCTAAATTCCTTTGGACACATTATGTGGAGATCCAGATCTCCCAAGAAGGCTTTGATGCTGGGAAAGATGGAAGGAAAGAGAACGGGACACCCAATACAATTGGTTACAATGGTAATGAGGACACAATTGGAAGACCTGAAAAAACAGGTTAGGGATAGATAAAGTGATCATTTGTCCAATATGATAATCCATTATTTCAGAAAGCTATCCCTTAGATTTATTTATTTTTTTATTTTCTTGGCTTTGCTCTTGCATTTTCCTTGTAAACATAAACATTTGTTTCATCTTTACGGATCTCTTTTAAATTTGCCACCTTTTCAGATTTGTCCTCCCCCCCCCCCAAAAAAAAAAATAACAGAATCACTGTAGGGATAGGTCATCATAGTAAAAATCTACTTATGTGTTGCTAGGAGTCCAAAAAAAGACTTAATGGCACATATCAAATCAAAAACTCCAAATAGTTTTTCTAAGGTACCGAAAATCAGAGACTGGCTACAAAGGGCAAATGGATACATCTATAAACCGAAAGGCAGTTGTGCTATCACAATTTCACAGTGTTTCTCAACCTTGACAATTTTAAGGCATGTGGACTTCAACTCCCAGAATTCCACAGCCAGCATTGCTGGCTGTGGAATTCTGGGAGTTGAAGTCCACATGCCTTAAAATTGTCAAGGTTGAGAAACACTGTCCTAAAAGAACCTCCAGATCCAGCTGCAAACTACCACAAAGTTTCTGATGCAAAGAATGCATACTTTCCTAGATTGTCACTCTCCTCCTAGATTGTCACTCTCCCGCTCCACCCCAGCAGCATTTTCTCTCCAGCCGCCTCCGCTTTTCTTTCTAATAGCCTCTCTGGGAATACTTCTCGTTCTCCTCGAGCCAAAACGTCCCCCCCCCCGTTTTCAGTCACTCACTTCTCCCTGCACTGCAATGCCTCCGCCCTCTATGCCAGAGGAGACGCTTCCATAGAGGATAAAAGTGTCGCCAAAGCTAAGAAGATTCAGGACTTCTATTCAAAAAGTGAGATTCCCACCAGGAAGAGGTGGGGAAAAGGGCACCGGAAGTGGCTTCACCCCTTCTTCTACACGGCACGTCCGGTACTTTTCCGCCAAGCAAAGGGAGAACCGAGGAGGGTCTCCTTTTGCCCCTCTAGGAGAGTTCAACTCAATGGATTTAACCCTTTCAGGGAATCCCTGAAATAACACCATAGTACAGTGATGGCGAACCTTTTAGAGACCGAGTGCCCAAACTGCAACCCAAAACTCACTTATGCATCGTCGGGTGCCGGGTGGGTGTGGCCATTGGGTGGGCGTGGCCCATTGGGTGGGCGTGGCTACAATAGTAACGCAGACTGCATGGGATTAAAAAGTTGAATTAATCAATTCCAACTTTGCAAAATCTTTTTTTTCCCGCGAAAAGTTGAAATTGACTGATTGATTGAACCTTTTTTTTTTTTGCACATGGCGGCGGAGGCCTAAAGTGAAAAGGTTTTATAAAACCCAGCTGAAGGCCTAGGACTGGGGTGACGGTGCACGTGCCCACAGAGAGGGCTCCGAGTGCCGCCTCTGGCACCCGTGCCATAGGTTCGCCACCACTGCCATAGTACAATGGTGGCAAACCTATGGCATGGGTGCCAGAGGTGGCACTCAGAGCCTTCTCTGTGGGCACGCGCGCCGTCGCCCCAGTCCTAGGCCTTCAGCTGGGTTTTATAAAACCTTTTCGCTTTAGGCCTCCGCCGCTGTGTGCAAAAAAAAAAAAAGGTTCCATCAGTCAATTTCAACTTTTTGTGGGGAAAAAAAAAAGATCTTGCAAAGTTGGAATTGATTGATTGAACTTTTTAGTCCCACCCAGTCTGCTGTTACCACTGCAGCCACACCCAGCCAGTGGGCCACGCCCACCCAATGGGCCACACCCACCCGGCACTCCACGATGCATAAGTGGATTTTGGGTTGCAGTTTGGGCACTCAGTCTCTAAAAGGTTCGCCATCACTGCCATAGTACAGTGATGGCGAACCTTTTAGAGACCGAGTGCCCAAAAACTGGCCCCGCCCCTGCTCCATCCCTCTGCCCCACCCCTGCTCTGCCCCTCCATCCCCTGCCCCGCCTGCCCACAGGACCACTCACCGCCTCCAGGGCCCGCTGCAGATTGCCCAGGTAGCCCAGCAGCGCTATGGCAGCCACACCCTCTGCCCGCGCCCTGCAACATCAACTGCATGATGGGGTGTGAGGGCAGAGTCTTGTCTACGCTGCCTGGCTGCCATGTCCTTGGCTGCGCTGCTGCGTGTGGGCCACTCTCAAGGGCGACTCTCCTTCAGGGGGGCTTCTGGAGAGGAGGGGGTCATGGGGGGAGGCAAGGCTGGGGCAACGGCACATGTGCCCACAGAGAGGGCTCCGAGGGCCGCCTCTGGCACCCATGCCATAGGTTCGCCACCACTGCCGTAGTAGTTGGTGCTTTTTTTTAATCCTCAAGTCATAAATGAAATACAGGTAGTCCTCGATTTACAACAGTTCATTTAGTGACCGGTCAAAGTTACATCGCCACTGAAAAATGTGACTTGCGACTGTTTTTCAGAGTTATGACCTTTGCAGCATCCCCATGCTCACGTGATCGAAATTCAGCCGCTTGGCAACTGGTTCATACTTATGACCGTTGCTGTATCCCCAGGTCCTGTGATCACCTTTTGTGACCTTCTCACAAGTAAAGTCAATGGGGAAGCCAGATTCACTTAACAACCGGGTTACTGACTTATCAACTGCAGTGATTCACTTAACAACTGTGGCAAGAAAGGTCGTAAAATGGGGCAAAACTCTTTAAACAAATGTCTCAGCAACAGAAATTTTGTGTCATAAACTGAGGACTACCTGTACTACGGGAATTCCAAGTAGAGTTAAACTATTATGGAACAAAATGGGAGAGAACGTGTCTTTTTCCTCTCTTTATCCCTCAACCTAAAGCCTCCCCTCCCTTCCTTAGCCTGATTTGGGCTATCCCAGGGGTAGGCAACCTTGGCTCTTTTATGACTCGTGGACTTCAACTCCCAGAATTCCTGAGCCAACCATGCTGAGGAGAAAAGGAGAGGTTTCCAAGCTGAGCCACGCTGGCTCAGGAATTCTGGGAATTGAAGTCCACGAGTCATAAAAGAGCCAAGGTTGCCTACCCCTGGGTTATCCTCTCCCGGATCAGCCCAGTGGCTTCTCCCCACCACCCACCTGGGAATCCTGAAAGAGCAGAACTCTAGGAAGGGGGAATTCCCCTTCCGGATTGGAGGGTGGCAGGAGGAGGGGGAAAGACTTTGGGGGAATCCCTTCCTCTCTAGGAATTATCTATGGTTCCTTAACCCTTGGAAGGCCATGCAACTGGTTTTTAGCCCTGGAGTGTCCAAGCAGAGCCCGGATGGCACCAAGAGGAAGGGAAGAGTATGTGGTGTGATGGTAGTTGTGTTATCTTGCTTCATGGTGGACCACAATGATGTAATTGTACAGCCAAAATAGCCACATCTGCTTTGAGGAAGCATAGATTGATTTGTCTATGGCAAACTGCCAGCCCACGGGTCGGATGCGTCACAGCAAAACCGCGCCCACCCCATTGCCAATGGCGAAAAAAAGTTGTGATACGTTGCGACACATCACGTGATGTTGCGAGTTTAACACCCCTGGTCTATGGAGATTCTTGGTCATCCAGATCATGGTTGTCCCAAAGGTGCTTTTTCAAAAGGCAACTGGGCTTTGTTTTTGCTTGAAGACGTTTCGCTTCTCGTCCGAGAAGCTTCTTCAGTTCTGAATGAACATTCTGAATCATTCAGAACTGAAGAAGCTTCTTGGAGGAGAAGTGAAAGCTCTTCAAGCAAAAACAAAGTCCAGTTGCCTTTTGAAAAAGCACCTTTGGGACACAGATTGATTTGAACTGCAGGCTTGAGCCCTGTGCTGTATTGAAGAGATTGGCGGGAGGAGGGGGAACCACAACAAGAATTGAATCTCCAGAAGTACCACATGAACATATAATAATAATAAAGTTGGAAGGGACCTTGGAGGTCATCTAGCCCAACCCCCTGCTCAGGCAGGAAACCCTATGCTACTTCAGACAAATGGCTGTCCAGTCTTTTCTTAAAAACTTCCAGTGTTGGAGCATTCACCGCTTCTGGAGGCAGGTTGTTCCACTGGTTAATTGTTCTAATTGTCAGGAAGTTTCTCCTGAGTTCTAGGTTGCTTCTCTCCTAGATTAGTTTCCATCCATTGCTTCTTGTCCTGCCTTCAGGTGCTTTGGAGAATAGCTTGACTCCCTCTTCTTTGTGGCAGCCCCTGAGATACTGGAACACTGCTATCATGTCCCCCCTCATCCTTCTCTTCATCAAACTAGACATACCCAATTCCAGAAACCGTTCCTCATATGTTTTAGCCTCCAGACCTCTGATCATCTTTGTTGCTCTTCTCTGTACTCTTTCTAGAGTCTCAGCGTCTTTTTTACATCGTGGTGACCAAAACATGGTTCCTCAAAGTACCACAACCATCCACAAGTTTACCTTTGCTCACTATGTTCCGGGGAGGACTTTCAAAAGTTGCAGATTTTAATGTAAAATTTTACTTTTGTCAGACCTGCCTCAGCTTGAATCTCTAAGAACGACCCTTAACTCCATTTGTTCAGAAAGGTATAGTTTAGTAGAAGCCAAGCGCATTACTGTAATTCCCTTGGCTTCTAATAAACTATACCTTTCTCAACAAATGAAATTAAGGATTGTTCTCACTTAGAGTTTCAAGCTGAGGCAGGTCTGACAACTTTCTTTTACAAGGCCTCCCTAGGGAAAATATCCCACCTCTGGGTTTTTTGCCTTCAAATGTCTCCATCAGCCAGCATTCAGCTATTTTTATCGAATACTTTCCTAGATATTTATTTTCTCAGAATCAAGTAAAAGGAAAAAAAAGCCTGAAACATATTTATTATTTAAAATGACGTAAGTGCCCCATCCTTTTGGGGAACATCAGGGTGGTGTACAACCAAGTTCATCACGTACAAATACAATAGAAAAGAGCACCATACAATCAATCAATCAATCAATCAATCAATCAATCAATCAATCAATCAATCAATCTATCTATCTATCTATCTATCTATCTATCTATCTATCTAAACAAGCAACAATTAAATTAACCTGTGATTAAAACTATTTTTGCTGCATGTCAGAAAGATTGTAATGTGATGAACAAAATTGTTGTAAGAAACAGAAGTGAGACAGACTTGAATGGAATGGAATGGAATAGAATAGAATGGAATGGAATGGAATGGAATGGAATAGAATAGAATAGAATAGAATAGAATAGAATAGAATCTTGGAGGTCTTCTAGTCTAGTCCCCTGCTCAAGCAGGAGAACCTATATCATCTCAGACAAGTGACTGTCTGGTCTCTTCTTTAAAATCTCCAGTGATGGAGCACCCATGATTTCTGAAGGCAAAGCTGTTCCACTGGTCAATTGTCCTCACTGTTAGGAAGTTTCTCCTTAATTTCAGGTTGCTTCTCTCTTGCTTATTTTAATTTTTGTTTCTAATTTGTCTTTTGCAGTGGGTTTTTTTTTGTTTGGTATGTTGGGCTATAGTTTCTTTTTGTGTGAAGACTGATGCAAAGTATGAGTTAAGCAGCTCTGCTTTCTTCCTGTTGCCTGTTATTTACTTGCCATCTTCTCTCTTTAGTGGACCTACAGTTTCCCTCACTTTTTTCTTCTTGTTAATATGTTGGAAGAAACTTTTTTTTTATTATCCATGATTTCGGTTGCAAGTCTTTGTTCGTTCTGAGCCTTTGCTTTCCTGCCTTCATCTTTGCATGTTCTGGCTGTCTGCTGATAATCGGCCTTAGTTATGTACCCCTCTTTCCATTTTTTGTATTTGTCCTTTTTGTCTTTGTTTGTCAAAGAGATCTTTGTGCAGCCATGCTGGTTTCTTCTTGAATTTGTTTTTCTTTTCCAGTGGTATTGTGCTGGTCTGGGCGTTTATGGTCACATTTTTGAAAGATTATGGATGGTATAAGGAGAAAAATGTAGTCCAAGGTAAATAATGTCAAATTATTGTCAAAGTTGTAGATGTGTATACTTCTGTATGTGTATGTACTGTATGTGCTTACATGTACACTGTCTTTCCCTAATTGAAATGTCATTTTTTTCTATGAAACAATTTGTAAACATTTTTCAAAAGTTTAAATCAGATTTTCAATGGACAATTTGAGAGAGATAATCTCTTCTCTTCCACATTCTTCTAAAGGTACACACTGAGGTACTGAGGAACACACACACATACACACACAATGTTCCTAAAAGACCTACTATCCGCATTGTCTCAATTGTTCACTGTATATATTCATAGTATCTTAATTAAAAAAAACTTGATTGCTTTGTAGATTTCCATAGCACCTTTCTTCAAATGTCTTCCTCCTTTAAACTTCACTTTCCTGAGGAGAAAAAGTCAGAATACTTTAGCTTTCAATTTTAAGATGTGTGGATTTCAACTCCCAGAATTCCCTAGCCGGCTAGGGAATTCTGGGAGTTGAAGTCCACACATCTTTAAACTTGCCGAGGTTGAGAAAGGCGAAGTAGACCAGGCAACTGAGAATATTACAGGGGTGTGGAGAAATGAAGAATGAGATCTTTTCCTAGAATCTAAGACAGTGATGGCGAACCTTTTAGAGACCGAGTGCCCAAAAACTGGCCCCGCCCCACTCCACTCCCTGCCCCGCCCCCTCTGCACCCACCCTGTCTCCTACCCTGCCTGCCCGCAGGGCCACTCTGCCTCCAGGGCCCGCCCCGGCAGCCCAGCAGCGACATGGCGGCCACGCCCTCTGCCTGCGCCGCGCAGCATCAACTGTGCGCGATGGGGAGCGAGGGCAGAGTCTTGTCCACGCTGCCTGGCTGCCATGTCCTTGGCTGTGCTGCTCCGCGTGGGCCACGCTCGGGGGTGATTCCTCCAGGGGGGCTGCTGGTGAGGAGGGGGTCGTGGGGGGAGGCGAGGCTGGGGCAACGGCACATGTGCCCACAGAGAGGGCTCCGAGTGTCGCCTCTGGTACGCGTGCCATAGGTTCGCCACCACTAATCTAACAACAGGGTATTCTTAATCTATATCAAAAGTTTAGAATCTGCTATCCAAAGATGTTATTTACCCTTACATGAATGGCAGTTTGCAAAAAATGTGGTCAAATGAATGAACAATGAAAATGAACAATACCAAAATGCAATAAAAATCATCGCTAGGATGAGAGATTACCCATTGCTGGGGGAATTTGAGTAAAAGGTGGGATTCTTCCCATGATCCGCCTGCTTCCTCTGAATTTTTGCCTGAGAATCAAAATTTAATTTGAAGAAGTTCCAAACTAATCATTTATGTGGTTTTACCACATGTCAGTTGATTGGTAAGCAATTTTTTCTACCTAGCAAAGTTTATTGACAACTCGCCTGTCATTTATAATATCTCTACCTTGTGTGCCTTTTTTTGATGCCTGGTCAGGTTTTTCTTATGACTGAAACTTTTCCCACATCCTAAGCAGGTGTATTTCTCCCCTGTGTGAATGCTCTGATGCTGGAAAAGGTTGGTACGCTGGCTGAAACTCTTCCCGCACTCCGAGCATTTATAGGGTTTTTCTCCGGTGTGAATTCTTTGATGTTTGGTGAGGTCTATTTTCTGACTGAAACATTTCCCACATTCCGAGCACCTGTATGGCTTCTCCCCGGTGTGGATTCGATGGTGCCTAGAGAGGTTCTTCTTATGATTAAAGCTCTTGCCGCATTCCGAGCACTTGTATGGCTTCTCCCCGGTGTGAATCCTTTCGTGAGAACTGAGGATGATTTTGTGACCAAAGTTTTTCCCGCAGACCAAACAGGAACACTCCTTCCCACCTGCGTGAATGAGCTGGTGATTCCGGAGCCCCGTGCTCCGACTAAAAGTCTTCCCACACTGAAGACACTTGTGCGGTTTTGGCTTTTGGAACACGGGTCGGTGAGCAGCGAGATACGTAGTTGGGTCGTCGCATTCCAAAAAGGGGAAAACTTTCTCTTCCGAATGAGTTCTATAATGCTTCATGAGCAGGATTTTCTGAGCGAAGCTCTTTTCGCATTCTAAGCATTTGTACGGCTTCCCCTCAGTGTGTGTCCTTTCGTGGTAAGTCAGAGCAGTCCGGTAACTGAAGCTCTTCCCGCACACCAAACACGCGTACGGCTTCTCCCCTGTGTGAATTCTTTGGTGAGTGGCGAGATTTGTCTTCTGGCCAAAACCCTTGCCGCATTCTAAACATTTATAAGGTTTCTCGCCCGTGTGGGTCCTCTGATGTTTCGTCAGGCCCGTATTCTGGCTAAAACTCTTCCCGCACTCCCGACACCGATAGGGTTTCTCGCCCGTGTGAATTCTCTGATGAGAAATGAGATTTATTTTGTGACTGAAAGTCTTCCCACATTCCAAGCACTGATAGGGTTTCTCCCCGGTGTGAATTCTCTGGTGGGACGTGAGATTGATCTTCTTCCCGAAGCTCCTGCCGCACTCTAAGCATTCGTGCAGCTTCTCGCCCGTGTGAATTTGTCTGTGCTTGGTGAGGCTCGAACTCTGGCTGAAGCTTTTTCCGCACTCGATGCATCTGTACGGTTTCTCGCCTGTGTGAATTCGTTTGTGCTTAATGAGGCTGGAGCTCTGACTGAAGCTTTTTTCGCACTCCAAGCATTTGTACGGTTTTTCCCCCGTGTGAATTCTTTGATGGGAGGTAAGATTTATCTTATAACCAAAACTTTTTCCACACTCCAAACACATATATGGTTTTGTCCCCATCGGAAGTTCTTTCATTCTGTATCGGTCACACCCTGGAATAAAGAGAAGAAATTCAGAGATAGATTGGACGACCTATTGAGATGAGATTTAGAAATGTACATTTGTTAGATTTTTTTAGCCCACCTTTATTACTTTATAAGTAACCCACGGGTCGGCAACCCGCAGCTCCGGAGCCGCATGTGGCTCTTTGAGCCTTCTCCTGCGGCTCCCAGCCTCCTCCGCCATTTGCAGAGAGAGAGAGAGAGAGACAGAGAGAGGCACTTGTGCTTCCCTTCTCCCTCCCTCCCTCCCTC